ACTTTATAGCACATTACTCGTATTCACGCTGTTTACAACAAAATTCCTGATATACATCTCAAGTCATATTTTATTACAAACAATTTGGTATATAGTTTGTTAAAATTGGATAAGAACTTTTTAAGTTATCACAACTCTGAGTCTCTCATAAGAAATACATTACTGCACTTAATTTTGTCTCATTTCTTTTAGTTCAATTATTGTTTTGAAATTAAATATTAATACAAACATAAAAAATTATGAAACATTTATTGATAATAATATTGTTAATTGTGTAAAAATTATTTATTCTCCGAATGACAACCATTTTTGTGTCGAAATAAACTTTGTTTTGATTTAAAACTTTTGTTACAATTATTGAACGTACAAACAAAAGGGTTTTCTCCCGAATGAATGAGTTTATGTCCAATTAATTGTGATCTATAACCAAAACATTTGCCGCAATTTTTTTCAGTACATTTAAATGGCTTTTGTTTTAAGTGAACACAATTTTGGTGATTAAGTAAATCACTTTTTCGCACAAAACATTTATTACATTCAGTGAAATCACATTTAAATGGTTTTTCTCCTGAATGTATGACTTTATGCTTCTTTAGATCGTATTTTCGAGCAAAACTTTTGCCACAATTTTCTTCATTACATTTGAATGGCTTTTCATTCAAATGAACACAACTTTTGTGTTGAAGTAATGAATGTTTGTTTATAAAATTTTTGTTACAATTATTAAAATCACAAATAAATGTTATATTCAAATGAACGCTATTTTTGTGTTCAATTAAATTGTATTTTGATTTAAAAGTTTTGTTACATTCACTGAAATCACAAACAAAAGGTTTTTCTCCCGAATGTCTGCGTTTGTGTTGCATTAAGAACTTTTTTTGACCAAAACTTTTGCCACAATTTTCTTCATTACATTTGAATAGCTTTTCCTTTAAATGAAAACATCTTTTGTGTAGAATTAAAGTTTGTTTTGTTGTAAACTTTTTGTGACAATCGTTGACATCACAAATAAATCTCTGATTTAAATGCATACTATTCTTGTGGTGAAGTAATTGTGTTTTCCGATTATAACGTTCATTACAACCGTTAAAATCACATACAAATGGTTTTTCTACCGAATGTATGCATTGGTGTTGAATGAGATTTGATTTCAGAGTAAAACTTTTGCCACAATTTTCTTCATTACATTTGAATCGCTTTTCTTTCAAATGAACGCATTTTTTGTGTCGAAATAAATTAGATGTTGTTTTAAAACTTTCGTTACAATCATTGAAATCACATTTAAATTGTTTTATATTTGAATGAATTAATTGATGTGAAAGTAAATTGTTTTTGTTTTTACTCTTATATTCACAATCAGTGCAAAGACAGTGAAAATACTTATCATTTGTTTTATAATAAGTAATCAAATGATCACTGATTTTGAATGTTTTGCAATCAATTGTTTGATTGAAATCCAAATGATTTAGTGATTCAATCGTTTCATTCAAAACACTATAATTTGTATTCAAAATACATTGCATTTTGTCTATTGTTTGGCAGAAAATCTTAATTTCAATCAATTTATTCATCATTTGATTGAAATCCAAGTCTTCTATCACTTGAGCCCACGTTTGGCTGTCGTTGTCTTCGGTGGCCATCACTTCATCGATTGTGTCCACACACTCGGAGTCACCACTGGATTCACTGCTAATCTCTGTATTCATTGAATCACTCCTTAATTGTGAACATATTTTAATAATTATGTCATAAAATCCAAGCCATGAAACTGTCGGTCACTTCACCTCTAATTCTGGTTTCACTGAAACACAAATCAATTGATTATAAGTTTTAGAAAATAACTGAAAAACACTTCAAATTAAAGACAAAATGAAAACTTTTGCCGCAATTTATAGACAAAGGCTTTGAAAGCATTGTTTTGAACACAAAATGTGCTGTAATTTACAGTTCAGACAAAATATTCACAAAACAGACAAACGATAAACAATTACAACAAAACTGACAATTATTTTAAACACAATTAAAGTTATTTTTGAAACACAAAATTAATTAAATAATTAAAAAACTAAACGATTGTTTACTTTTGTTTACAACTATTGATACTTAAAACTCATTCACAAATGTGTTACACTTAATGACTCACTTTTATGACCCCTAATGTTGTACTCAATTCATACAACACTTACACCAAACCCCTCCCCCTTCACACCATTCACTCAAATCTCGTCACGTATTATATGAATGTTTGCCCTATTGTTCAACAAATTATGTGTTTTACTGAAAACTTTTTAGTAGAGATGTGGGCATTGATTGACTGACTTTCACTTCACATCCTTTTCAATGCATTCAGTCTTTCATTCAATACTCTTTGCATTCAAACGCATTGAAAGTTTTCAAAAACAAATCTCAACACATGATCGCTAATACCAGACCTCAAACACTATTAAATCTTATTATCAAAGCAATTGTCAAATGATATTTAAAAAATTATATTTTATTAATATATAATTTTAGGCACTATTCAAAAATATATTTGAAAATTAAATCAATTTTTTTATTTATTAAATGTCATTTGATGTCGTTTAAAAATACAAACATATTTACAGTAAATATCTGATTATTATTTTAATTATAATTGTAATAAAAATATTTGATACAAAATTATTTAAATATAAATTACATTCATTTGATGACAGAATAAGGATTAATGTGTTGTAAAACTTTTTTTTAAAATCAATTTATATTTAAAATGCAATTTTAAGATAATATTCAAAAATAAAGAATTTATCACATAATTATTACAATTGTCTAAATTAGTGAAGGCGAGATAGAGGTGTTTGCCACCATATAACAGAATTTAAGGTTGGTAACGATACAATACAAAAATGATTCAACACAGCTATGCATTAAATTAATATTTTAATCAAAAATCGAATTTTTAAA